GTCAAAAACTGAACTCTATTTAGGCCATGACAGGTCATTTCAACCCAGAGGAGAATTTCTCAGTACATTAAATTCCAGTGAAATATATTTATGTTTGTGGTTGTAATGTGACAAAATATGGAAAAGTTCAAGGGGTATGAATACTTTTGCAAACCACTGTATGTATGTATACATGTGTGACTTTTTTTAAGTTACCCTTAGTGAAGATGTCTGCCGCAGCTGGTGAGCTCAGCAGCAGCTGGAGGTCTGTGGATAATAATCCCTGTAGAAACCTTTGTTTGTTTGTTTGTTTGTTTGTTGTCCTCAGTGCAGAAGCCGGAGAAGCTCAGCTCGGTGTGTGTGGCGGCAGCGCTGCGTGACGGCCTCTCTGCCTACACCGCTCTGCACACACACGCCCACATGGCAGCTGGACACACACTCCTGGTCATGGATGGAGCCAGTGTATGTAAAAACCATTTTAATAAATGTAGACCTGCAGCTGTGACGTATCAGCTGTTTATCACCTCGGTTCTTCAGCTACAGAACAGAAATCCTGTTGTAAGAAAAATTCGTGTTCAATAAACTGAAGTCGATATTAAAACCACCATTGTTAAATAAAATGATTTGTAGAAGGAATCAAACCATACAACACCAGAATTCTGGATCTGAGTGAGGTTTATTGTTACTTGAGCTGACAGGAAACCACACTGGCGAAAAACCAGGAAGTTCATGTATTTATACACCTTCTTCAGTGTCTGCGTTCGCCCCCTACTGACCTACGGCTGAATCACAAGCATTCAGACAAAATTCTTATCTACTGTCATCACAATGGTTGATTATGTGTTGTTATATAATTCGGACATGTAACTAATCTATATCAATCAAAACATAATAGATTGAACATTGTCAACATTACAAAAAGGAAAACCTAAAAATATAGTGTTGTGCTTTTAACGTCAGTACTAACCTCTAATAACTATAAATTTCTTCAGTTTTTCTCTTGTTCTTGCTGTATTTTGTGAGAGTTTGATATTTGCAGATCCTCTGTAAGCATGAACAAACTTGTAATGTCCTCTCCTGTCATTATGAAGCCGTTCGGCCTAATGTGCATCCAGCTGGCCTGTTACCATGGGCTGAAGGTTCTGACCACGGCCCACTCTGCTCAGCAGCTCACCTTCCTGGAGCAGCTCCGGCCCAGTGTAGGTCTGTACTCTTCATTCACACCTTCATGTGGTTGTATGAGCTTGAGTCCTGGTCCTCTTCCAAAGAACTGGAGCTTTCATGCTGCACTTTCTGCTTCCTTCACTTCCCTCCTTACCTTCATGTTTCCTTCAGGTGTTCAGGATCCATTAGTAGGTGAGAGAGTCCCTCCTGTTGTCTCTTGCTCAGTTATTTATCCCATGTTTCTTTGAAATCTGAAACTCACTGCATTTTCTTTTGCTTCAGCTTCACCTTTCTGACTAATATTCATTTTACAGATATATATTTATTACAACCCAAAAATCAGACCAGCAGTCTGCAGCCTTTATGAGTTAGAGACATTTTTACCATAGGAACTGGCCCTCAGAACAAGAACAGACTGTCAGAACAACAAGAACAGGCTGTCAGAACAAGAACAGCTGTCAGATCAAAAAGAACAGGCTGTCAGAACAAAAAGAACAGGCCGTCAGAACAAGAACAGGCCGTCAGAACAAGAACAGGCGTCAGAACAACAAGAACAGGCTGTCAGACAACAAGAACAGGCTGTCAGAACAAGAGGAGGCCCTCGGAACAAGAACAGGCCGTCGGAACAAGAAAAGTCTGTCAGAACAGGCCGTCAGAACAAGAAAAGCCTGTCAGAACAGGCCGTCAGAACAAGAAAAGCCTGTCAGAACAGGCCGTCAGAACAAGAAAAGCCTGTCAGAACAAGAAAAGCCCATCAGAACAAGAAAAGTCTGTCAGAACAAGAAAAGTCTGTCAGAACAAGAACAGGCCGTCAGAACAAGAACAGGCCGTCCGTCGGAACAAGAAAAGTCCGTCGGAACAAGAAAAGTCAGTCAGAACAAGAAAAGTCTGTCAGAACAGGCAGTTAGAACAAGAAAAGCCTGTCAGAACAAGAAAAGCCTGTCAGAACGAGAAAAGTCCGTCAGAACAAGAAAAGTCTGTCAGAACAAGAAAAGTCTGTCAGAACAAGAACAGGCCGTCAGAACAACAAGAACAGGCTGACAGAACAACAAGAACAGGTTGTCAGAACAAGAAGAGGCCCTCGGAACAAGAACAGGCCGTCGGAACAAGTAAAGTCTATCAGAACAGGCCGTCAGAACAAGAAAAGTCCGTCAGAACAAGAAAAGTCCGTCAGAACAGGAAAAGTCCATCAGAACAAGAAAAGTCAGTCAGAACAAGAACAGGCCATCAGAACAAGAACAGTCCATCAGAACAAGAACAGTCCATCAGAACAGGAACAGGCCGTCAGAACAAGAACAGGATGTCAGAACAAGAACAGGATGTCAGAACAAGAACAGACCAACAGAACAAGAACAGTCCATCAGAACAGGAACAGGCCGTCAGAACAGGAACAGGCCGTCAGAACAAGAACAGGCCGTCAGAACAAGAACAGGCCGTCAGAACAAGAACAGGCCGTCAGAACAAGAAAAGTCTGTCAGAACAAGAACAGGCCGTCAGAACAAGAACAGGCCATCAGAACAAGAACAGGCCGTTAGAACAAGAAAAGTCTGTCAGAACAAGAAAAGTCCGTCAGAACAAGAACAGGTCATCAGAACAAGAATAACGGGTTGTCAGAACAACAAGAACAGGCCGTCAGTGGACGGGATAGGTGGGGCTTAGTCCAGTGTTCTTATTCAAGGCTATGACTGCTGGCATAGACTTGGGAAATCCAGTCTCTTGACCGTTTTGCGTTAGCCGTTGGCTTCATCAACCGATCACATGAGCACGCCAGCTGTTCCGTATAAGACTTGACTTGACTGCCGTTCACTCTGCTGCCACCATGTGGAGAATACTGTGTACTGCACGGACTTCCACTTGTTTATCTGACATATTTAATAAGAAACCAGAGGCCTATTGCACGAAACTAGGATAAGGGATTAACCCCGGGATTTTGGTGTAAACCTAAATGAATTAAGCCTTAAATCGGTTGCATGAACTACGAAGCACTTATGTTTCCGTGGTAACAAGTCCTCTGAAACTAACCTGGTCCTGATCAGGTTTAAAGTGAAGCTTATTTAATCTGTTAGTGTTTTTGAACAGTAGACGGTCATTTTACTGCAGAAAACTGTTCCTCTAACCAAGTTTTACAGTCTTATATCAGCTAAAAAGTATGTTTGATCTTGTTTTAGACCAATATACTAAAGAAGATCAGAATATGTTGGATTATTAATCTTGTTAATCTGAAAAGGTGTCAAGAAGTCTTACCAAGTGCAACTGTCAAACTGCAGATTATTAATTATTATTAATTTGAAAAGAAAAAGGGTCTAATCTAGTATTTTTTACTTATTTTTAGATGGCAAATTTTTGCAGTGTCTGATCAGAAATCAGTTCTTCATACAATTATTAAATGTATTATTTTTTTCTTTGCATTATTCATTCTCAATGAACTAGTGTAACACTAATAAATGGCCAATTTATTTAGATGTTAGTGGTGTGTGGTTATATTAATAGGACGACACTCTAGGAATGCGTGTAGAGACTCCAATATAACCATAGGA